TAATGGACTACATCATTCTATTGGATGATGGTAACAAATCGCGCTTCAAAAAAATATTCTCATTGAAGTACACCGGCGTAAGAAAGAAAATATTATGTCAAGAGAGTGCTTTTCCTTGATTTATTCTTTCGCAAATGAAAAGATTGGGTGTTTCAATTTAGTAGAGATGTAATATATAAATTAATGTGTAATGAAATTATTAAAAATAATTTTAAAAAGTGGAATATATATAATAAGTTAGATTGTAATAGAAAAAAATGAAAAAGACAAATTTTCATAAATGGCCTTCTCTAAGATGTCAAATCATATATGGTGTGAGAGCCTGTCACAAATTTTTTATGTTGGGTTTCTCGTTTTGCAAATGAAATAGCTCATGTTGTTGTTAAAGGTTTATTGAAATATGTTATTTTCATTCCATTGAAGAAAATAATACAACGAATTAGGTAGATTTCAAAAATCAAAATAATTGTTACGATAGGCTACACAATACATATACACATATATATTAATTTCCATTTTTCATATATATACTTACAAAATTACATTACCGCCCTTATTAGAATTATTAAAAAATTACACTATCATCCTCCCTCACACAATTTTTTTGTTCAGTGTAATACCCCGATATTTTAAATGATTTATTAATTAGGATTAATTACTTTTATTTTATTTTATTTTAAATTATTTGTTTGATTTAATTGGAATTAATTATTTTTATTTTTAAATAATTTGTTTTATTTAATTGAGTGTTATGATTAATTGTCTTATTTTTATTAAATTATGTTTTGTGACTATATTTGATGAATTGGTGTGTTGGTTTGTTTTATGAGAATGTTACGATTGTGTTGTTTGTAATATTTGACTATGTGTAACTTTTATGCTAGTGTGAATTAATTGTAATTATTAGATTTGATTAGATTATTTTATTTATTTAAGTTAATGGGTTTGGGCTTAAGAGGAGTGAAACCAATGGATATGGTCTTGGGCTTTGATGAAGCCTTGTTGGGTTAATTAATAAAGGCCCATGATTAAGTGATTATTTTAATAATAATTTTTTGTATAATTATAAGTATATATTTAATAAGTGTTATGGAAGGACATATATATATATATATATATATATATATATATATATATATATATATATATATATATGATTTAATTAACTAATGGGTTAATTATGGAAGGTGTATATATATATATATATATATATATATATATATATATGTTTAGAGATATATATTATTTAAATATTATTATTTTATTTGAGAATCCTAGTTAGAATAGGATTTGGATTTTGATGTGTATAAATATACACATAAGATTTTAGGGTTAAAAGTTTTACACGTTAGAAAAATAAAAGAAAGAGAGAGAGAGAGAGAGAGAGAGAAGGCCGACAAAGAGGAGGTCGAATCTGAGAAGGAGGACGTTGGGATTGGAAGAGACAATTAAAGCTTGAAGCGTCGGTTTTGTTTCGAAACCTTCAGGCGAGTTTTCTCAATTTTTCCTCTTAGAATCCATAAGGATTTCACCTTAAGTATCAAGGCTTTATTTAAATTGTTAATTTAAATCATGGTTAGAACGGAGTTAATAAAAAATATTAAGTTAATTTTATTTGATTAAATCATAATTAAATTAGAGAATTAAAAGTATAATTTATTATTATTTTTATTTCTGGAATTGTAGGATTTTAATTATATATATAGGTTGTATATATTTAAAGTCAACTGTTATGTTTGATCTATGACCCAAGAGGATTATTTAGGATTTATAGAATTTTTAAGAATTTTCTGTAATTTTCTGAAATTTTCTAGAGTTGTTTTATATTTTTCTTAAATTATTTAGAATTATTTATATTTATTCTGGGCAAAAAAAAAATTATATATTGTTTTATACATATATGAGTTCCTGTAGAAATCGGTGCCTCTAATAAGGGAGGTGATTCAGTGCGACGCATCACATGGCGCTACGGTGCGCACTAATCAGGACCATAGGTTGGTCCTGATGATTAAAGAATGATCCAGTGTAGACGGGTACATAGGATTATGATACACATTGGATCCAGGCCGTTGAGTGGAGTGGATTAATGGAGAACAATCCAGTGCATTGCGTCACATGAAGGACTGGTGCGCTTGTGCATCTGGTCTGTTAACTTGGGCTGGTCAACAGAATAGTGATTCGGTGCCTCGCGGCTCACAAAAATGGAAAGAAGCAGCCAACCAAAAGAAGCCACGTCACCGGAAGGAAGAACAACCACGTGGCAGCGCGTAAGAGCGCATGAAGGCACGTGATTGGGCTTGCCAGTATAGGGAAGCGCGTGGCAGCGTGTGGTGGTGCGTGGCAGCGTGTGGTGGTGCGTGGGAGCGCGTGTAGAGGTGTTTGAGGTCCTATGAAGTTGCTGTGGAGTCCATTGATGTTCCAGAATTGATTTGAAGTTTGATAATGTTGAAATCAACCAGTAGAGGAGGTATTTTATGTGTTTGAGGGCTGTGGGATGCTACTACAATATTTAGTTACATTTAGTTGGCATAAATATAATTAATTAAATATTTTGCCATGGAAGGAGTATGGTTATAGATGTGTATATATATGGTTGATTTAATTTATGATTTGTATAGAATGAGGTATATATATACATATATATATATATATATGTATATATGATTTTTTTAAATAATCAAAGATTATTAAGGAATGAGTTATACACATATATACATATTAAATAATATATGTGTATAGGTATATATATCAATTAAGATGATTATCATTTGTATTCTTATTTGATATATTTGGAGAGGCTGGTTAGTAAATTTGTGATATGTTTATAATGTGCAGAAGATGTTTATGTATTAATTAACTTATTATTAAGTTTAAAGTTAATACATAGTTGAGTTGTAGGCATGAATGAGTTGTCATAGATGTAAGTATATTGCCTAAGTATTTGTATGAATAAAATACATACATAGGAAGTTTGGATGAGTTGCTAGTTTAAAAGTATAAAATATATACTTGTGGAGGCATGGTTGAATTGACAATGTATAAATAAATATACTTATGGAGGCATGGTTGAATTGCCAAAGTATAAATATATATAGTTAAGGAGGCACGGTTGAGTTGTCAATATATAAATAAATATATTTATAATGGCATAGTTGATTTGCCAAAGTATAAGTTAATGGCTATGGGTATTAGATGTTTAAATTGCATCTATGGTTATTGTATGTATAAGTTGGATTAGGATTAGATATTCTTAAATTAGAATAATCTAGTAGTTACATGTCAGAGTATTATTTTATATATATTAATAAAATAATATTGGTAGAGACATGGATGATTTGTCAAAGCCTAGGTATTGGCTGTATGGTTTAAATAAATAAATTTATTATTGGCTTTTGGATTAAATATAATTTTTCTTGATATATATTATATTATTTAAATGATTAAATAATTATTTAAAATGGAGTTAAGGTTAATGGGGTGTCTCTTTAAAAGAGAAGGAGTTTTGAATTGGTTTAGGTATGATTATATTTTAATCATGGTTTAATGGTTTTAAAAATTAATGAAACTATTAATGGATGTGAATGTTATATTGTATATAATTATTTATATATACGCGTATCATTATTTATTAAACTTAAAACTTTATTAGGTTTGGTTTTGATCAGAGATGATCTATTTATTGGTTTTCAGAGGTCTGGTAGAGAGAACTTGCTCGTAGGGTTTAACCCATGATTTATTTTTTTCAGGCTATTAGAAGTTCCAGTCTCGAGGTTAAGGATCCGCAACTGGAAGACTGTCATTCATCTATTCATCTTATATACTTTTAAGTAGTATTAGATTATTGGATAATATTTTAAGGGGTCCTTGAGTTACGGGATTCCCGAGTTGTAATTATTGGAGAATTATTAATTAAAATTTATTTATTAGTTTTCTTCAGTGGTTTATTTATTCTTTATTATTTATCTTTTGTATTCTGTGTTTGTTTGAAATACTTTAATTGTTTTGATATCCCCTAGTTTTGTGCGCGGACTTGATCAACCCGTGTTCCGAAATCAGGGGGTATCACAGTTGGTATCAGAGCACTCCAGGTTCAAGTGTCCCTAGGGTGTCTTTCGTTGTGTGACTTCCGCGTTGTGTACTCTTTTACTTAGAGCTTATGTTTAGGACTCATTGTATTATATATTCGGTCCGTTAGTGCGTCCTAAAGTTAAATCTATAGTCTTTGTAATGACCCGGTCATTTTTCTTCCTTTTCTTTTTCTCAGATTTTAACGGATATTTTTTTTTCCGTTGTCTTTTTCTTTTTGGGTTCGATTTTTCATCACTTGATGTCGTCTCGAGTGCTCTGGAATGATTTCCGAGACTCTTTTCCTTGGATTGACAACTTCCTTTGGGGATTGTGTCATTTCCATATTTTATTTTTCCGAACACTATTCACATTTGTCTTTTTCTCGTTTATCCTTTTTCCTTGCACAACCTCACTTTTTGTGCACGAATTTGATTCCGGTTTTGCATGCATTCATGATATTTGATTTCTATTATAGTGGTATTTTTAATTTTCTAGAAAAGCATATTGATTACTTGCTTCTTTTATAAAGGGGCATTAATACATACTTTAGTGTAATTATTCTTATCTTGTGGGGTTTTAGTGTAATTAAATAAAGTAATTATTTTTCATCTTGGGGACCATTTTGCAATTAAATTTGGAAGATACTTTCAAAAAGAACGTTTTTGAAATTTTTGAAAAGTGTGACAAGTGTCACACCCTCATTGGTCCACTTGTTGACATTTGTGTGGAAACACTTTAATGCATTGGATGATGACATTTGGAGGGTGAGGATTCACCCACTTGTTGGCCTAGGATTGGTGCACTTGTTGGCTTGGAAGGAGCCATGGATTGGTGACAAGTGTAGGACTCACCTTTAGTCTTGCATTAGTGTGTGTGTGAGAGGTAGTACAAGAGCACCTAGTGAGTGGAGAAGCCCACCAATTTAGCTTTGGGTTTACACATTTTAATTCATTCATCACTTTCCTCTCAAGAACCCTAGAAGCCACCATTGGAGAAAAGCTTGACTAGTAGCTTTGACTTCATTTTTGGTGCCCTTTCACTCACCTTAGAACTTTGAACTTGGAATATTTTAGGCTCCTCCTACTCTCCTCTCCAAAACCCTTGAAGGATCTAGCCTAACTCCTAGTTTTGCTTTGGTATCTAGAGTTTCAATTCTCTAGTGAGGTATTGATCTATTATTTTGAAGTATTTTTATGTCATTATTGAGTGTTTTACATGCATGGAAGAGAAGGACTTGTATTTTGCCCTTAAACTGCTTTAATTTGAAATTAATCTTGTCAAATTAAATATAGAATATGAAAATATACTTAATTAGCTTTCATTTAGTTTTGGTTTCATATAATTTGGATTTAAAATGAATTAGTTATGAATTTTTGAACTTGTAAGCTAGTTGCTGGAAATTTGAAGTTTTTCCTTTTCGGTCCAAAAATGAATTTTTATATGGAGTTTTGATGCTTCAATAGCCTTGAAATTTTTACTAGAACTTCCTCCATGGGTTTTACACTACTCAGAATTTTTTCACGATTTTAGAGCATTTCTAAATTTTTTTAAAAATCCGAAACTATCTGCTGTCCATGTTTTTATTGCAGCTGGAAAACATATTTTTAGATGATTTATTTCACTAACCTTTTGACATTGGATCATGGGTTAAATTTTCAGTTTTATACTCTTATATGTTTACTTCCAAAATAAATTAGGTTTGCCCAATTTGGATGTCAAATGAATTTTTCATGAATTTTCAAAGTTGGAAGCTACAGGCTGAAAATGTGTTTTCTGGGCAGAATTTGTTTCAAAGTTGTGGGTCAAAACTGTTTCAATTGGGAAAATATTTTGTTAAACTAAATTGATATTATCAAATTAAAGTGTTTAAGCTTTCATTGGGCTTTGGATTCATTCAATTTGGTTTAGAATTGAATTTTTTATGAATTTTACAAGTTGAAGGTAGCAAGCTGAAAAATTTGTTTTGCGGACCGAAAATTTGGGGCGATTTCATTTCGGTGGTAATTGGGATTTTCATTCCAATTGAGGTAGGGAATGTTTTAGGATTATTTGTGTGTTGTATTGTGTGTTTGCCATGATTATACAACATATATGTATGCCTTGTATCAAATGTAGAAAGTTAGTAATTTTTATTTCTTCGTATAAGATTTAAAATTTATGATGATGTATAACTTTGATTTCAATTGTAACATACTAGGAAATTATGCTTAGATATGTTGGTTAACATATATTAAATTTGGATCATTTGATTAAGAATTACAACTTTTATTTAATATTTATCTTTAGTGAAAGTTTAATTCACATGGTTGTATCAAGTATTAAATCAAGTTGTAATGTGGTATTTAAATAGGTCTTGGCATGTTCTCTAACATAGATTAAATTGAGGGCATTTGGAATTGTTTAAATCTAAAAGAAATTAATTAATTAGCTTGATTAATTTTGTTTTAAGTGTTTTAATCACTTAACTTGTCATTTGATGTTATATATATGATGACCATGACATGTCTTTCAATATATATTAAATTGAGATTATTTGGATTAACTTGGAATTTAGAGAATTTAACTATTTATGTTTAATTAAATTTTACTTTATTACTCCATGGATTTAATTGTATTTTGGAAATTATTTCTATATTTAAATCATGGATTTGGATTTGATGTATGTTCACTTGATTACTTTTGAGCATTAGATAATATAGTTGTTACTTTTATATTCATGAGAATATGTTTTTCCTTATTGAATATATTGTTGCTATGTGTAAGGAATTGCACACTTTGTATTTGACATCTTACATGCCATAGTAGTTGTGAATTTTGAGCATGTATTGTATAAGTTTCCAAAATTTGGATTGTGCTTGGTAAATAGTTGATATCTTGTATATACATGTTGATATATATACGTTGTTGCACAATTTGTTGATTTTGGAAACTTGGGGATGTCGTTATTTGGCTACGGTTAGGACTTGGTTCTAGTACGGGGGATTGTCCCTCTATATAGTCTAGTGCGCACATAGGGAGGTTACCCATGGGCTAGTAACCCTAAAGTAACTATGTTGTCGGTTTGATCCGGCGTGACGTCCGAGTATCCACTTTGTTTGATTTCGTATTTCATTTCAAGTTGATAACTAGATGATATCGTAACTTGTTGTTCCTTATTTGATTTCCTATTTTGAGCTTAAGATGTAGCTTTGTGAAAGCATGCTTCATGCGTTGTATTGGAAGTTCTATTGTTAGTTAAATTGCATCAATATCATAATTTGTGTTTTGATGTTCAAATGTAGTTTAGGAATGACCTTATAGATTCATTTTGAACATAGACGTTAGGTGGCATGACCCACACTTGTTGTTTTCGTATTTTGGATTTCAAATTGAAGACTTCGAGAATCTATATCTTGTTGCCTTGTATAACATGTTTCCATGTTGTTTGAATTGCATGAACAATGTGATTATGATAGAAATGATCTAAGTAGCTTAGGATGCTCCATAGGTCTCATCTTGACATAGACGTTAGGTGGCATGAGCCCCTTTAAAATGTTTCACCATAAGGTGATAAAATTGTAAAATGTTAGGTCGATACATGCTCATCTCCTACGAGTAGCTTTATATTACTCATCCCTACGATACTGGGGCATATTTCAGGTACAGGACTCAGAATTTGAAGATTCCATTGCTCCTTGAATGGCTTACAGTTTCTAAGTTTCTATTTTATGCAAGTGTTAGCATAAGATGCCTCTTTGTAGCCCTATTTGTTTAAACTTGTATTTGTTGATTCGTATATGTAAAGTGTACGTAAGTGCACTCTTTTCAATGTATTTAACATGTATGAGATGAGGCCAGAGGCCAATGACATGTATCTCGTTTTCTATGCACTTTTGTTTTCAAAGTTTATTATGAAAATATTGGAAAATGTTAAGTCATTGCTTCATAACTTTCGCATCGGGTGTTGGAATTTCATATCTTTTCTGCCCAGACTCAGAATCAGACGATTCTTGAGTCTAATTTTGTTTTTTTTTTTGTTGTCCTTCCAATGGTGTGCACGGTGACACCCTTTTCAATGAGAAATGACCATTTTGCCCTTAGTTCATCTCTTTTCGGGTTAGGTATTCTTGCTTCATTTGTTTGGCTCATTTGAGTTCCGTGTTTTCATGGAGAGTCATTTTGGGGCCTTAGGGATGACGTACATCTCTTGAGGTCATTTGGCTTCTTTCGCTTCCGCATTTCGGGTTCGTTATCGAGTCAATTTCTGGTTCATCACTAACGCACCGGGTTGAGAAATCTGGGTCGTTACAGTCTTATTAGCAAATGGTAGGACATCGATTTGGAAGGTATTGGAGGAGGTAAAAGTGTAAGTGCCATGATCGTATGCTAAATCAGTATGTAGGGAGACAATATCTATTGTGGAAATTGATTGAATAACATAGACTACGAATGTCGATAGTTTATGTTCCTATAATAAACACAGGTGCGAGATAGAGTAGATAACTGAATTGTGAGAAGTATTACTTTCTACACCCAGTATTATTCAGGGAGGATGAACGAAGTTGTAGATATTCTCAAACGTCAACAAGATATAAAATGGTTAGTTTGTTGATAAGTTATCTGGTTTACGTATAGTGGGAACGCTGATACACTAGTGATTACTCACAAGGAAATTATGGGTCAACTTGGAAATAGAGAGTTAACTTCCGAAGGAATTGTTTTTACTCAGTAGAATCCGATAGGGTATGGTTTATAAGGAATGACTAATAGGTCTTCGTGATAATTTTAAGGAAACTAGGGTTGACTGAGGAACTTAATTCTCAGTTCTTGATTATTTAGGAAGGCAAGAGAAAATCACGGAGTTAATGTAGCCACTTCATATACTAAAGTGGATATGAGAGGGTACTTTCATGGAATTAAGGATGGGATTACCGACATTGCGATGAGATTTTTATTTCCATATGGGTCATAAATGATAGTTTGATTAAGATTAGTTGAGAGCATAAAATAAAGCTTTCGGAGTTACCTAATGGTATGGCTTTGCTTAAGGATTTGTCTGGACGATCTTTTAAGATTTTTTCATTCGTGCATCGTTGTTTAAAAGGAGTTGAATATCGTAAACTCATATATTAGAGTTTGAAAATGGGAAGCGGGTTATTACCTAAAACATTTTTTATGTGGAGGGTATAATGTGGTTTAGCAATAAAGATGAGGTTATTACCTCATTATGTGGGTTATTCATATTTTGTTTGATTAGGCAATGGTCTGTTGCTAGCGATGCTATATATTTTGCGTCATGTGTGTAAAAGGGTTTCATTTGTTTTGCTGCAACAAAATACAGCAATGGGGATATTTTCCTAACGCATATAAGTTGGTGAGATTAGGTTGCAAATGAATGTAACAAGTATGGATTAGCTTAGCATCATCTTAATAAATTACGAGATATGTCTGTTAATTATCAATAGGTATAGATGGATTAATATCACACGAATAAAGGAAGAATGAAAATTTGGATTAAATAACCAGAGTTTCATGTCATGGATTCGTGAATTCTGAGGACGGAATTCCTTTTGTTAAGGGGGAAAAATGTAATACCCCGATATTTTAATGATTTATTAATTAAGATTAATTACTTTTATTTTATTTTAAAAGGTTTGTTTGATTTAATTGGAATTAATTGTTTTTATTTTTAAATAATTTATTTTATTTAATTGAGTGTTATGATTAATTGTCTAATTTTTATTAAATTATGTTTTGTGACTATATTTGATGAATTGGTGTGTTGGTTTGCTTTATGAGAATATCATGATTGTGTTGTTTGTAATATTTGACTATGTGTAATTTTTATGCTAGTGTGAATTAATTGTAATGATTAGATTTAATTGGATTATTTTATTTATTTAAGTTAATGGGTTTGGGCTTAAGAGAAGTGGAACCAATAGATATGGTCTTGGGCTTGGATGAAGCCTTGTTGGGTTAATTAATAAAGGCCCATGATTAAGTGATTATTTTAATAATCAATTTTTGTATAATTATAAGTATATATTTAATAAGTGTTATGGAAGGACATATATATATATATTTATTTATTTATTGATATATATAGGTATATATGATTTAATTAACTAATTGGTTAATTATGGAAGGTATATATATGTAATATAATACATATTTAGAGATATATATTATTTAAATATTATTATTTTATTTGAGAATCCCAGTTGGAATTGGATTTTGATGTGTTTAAATATACACATAAGACTTTAGGGTTAAGAGTTTTGCACGTTAGAAAAATAAGAGAGAGAGAGAGAATGAGAAGGCAGACAAAGAGGAGGCCGAATCTGAGAAGGAGGACGTTGGGATTGGAAGAAACGATTAAAGCTTGAAGCGTCGGTTTCGTTTCGAAACCTTCAAGCGAGTTTTCTCTATTTTTCCTCTTATAATCCATAACGATTTCACCTTGAGTATCAAAGTTTTAATTAGATTGTTAATTTAAATTATGGTTAGAATGGAGTTAATAAAAAATATTAAGTTAATTTTATTTGATTAAATCATAATTAAATTAGAGAATTAAAAGCATGATTTATTATTATTTTTATTTATGGAATTGTAGGATTTTATATTTAAAATCAATTGTTATCTTTGATCTATGACCCAAGAGGATTATTTAGGGTTTATAGAATTTTTAAGAATTTTTAAGAATTTTCTAGAGTTGTTTTATATTTTTCTGAAATTATTAAGAATTATTTATATTTATTCTAGGCAAAAAAAAAATTTTATATTGTTTTATACATATATATGAGTTCCGGTAGAAATCGGCGCCAATGAAGGCCTAGGGGGCACGTGTCCCCTGAGTTGGTCAGCAACCTATAATATATGTGGTAGAAAATTTCCATATATATGAAAAAATTTATATAATGCCCCCCTCAAATTTGTAGTTCCTAAAATTATATTATTATTTTTTCTTTATTTTTTCTTTTACTCTTCACATTCCTTAAATTTCCTTAGTAGAAAAAGTCAAATTTTTCTTCCTCAATTGAAACTTTTTAACTATTTCCTATTAAAATTCTATCATTTTTCTTTCCTTTTATATTTTAATAATTTTCTTCTTTTTTGTTTTTTGAATTTTATAGTTGTTATATATATATATATATATACTCCGTATTGTTTTTTCTTTTTTTTTGTTCGGCAATATGTCCCTTCTCACTTGAAATCCTAGTTCTGTCACTGGTGCATCACACGACGCCACGGTTCGCACTAATCAGGACCTTGGACCATTTTGGGGCTAAGCTTTTCTTGCAAATCTTACTAGTACAGCTAATGTTTGACATTGCAATGGTACTGTACTATTTTTTATGCATGTCTCCTTCGGTTGAAGACTTTTTCCCATCTTTTATTTGAAAAATCCTTTTTAAATCACTGTACTAAAGACATGCATGTCGGTATGAACTATGTGAGTTTAATTAACAGTTACTTGTTTAATCACTACAATTACCTTTTTGACCACGAAAGAATAAAATTTTAAAATAGTAGGTGTTACTATATCAAACACGTGATTTAGTGGTAAGAGTTCCATTGGATAAAACTGTCGTGTTTTCTTAGTTCTCTAATATAATGGTATATTCCTTTACCTTTAAAAAAAAAAAATAAGGGAGAAATTCAAGTATCAACATAAACAAAGTGTATATGAGTACCAAAGATATAAAAAAACACAATATTTTGTTATAACAAAAACAAAATCAACAAGGTCAAATATGAGAGTAACGACTGAGTTAATAACAATATGCCAGTAATTGAGAGTGACATTGGAGCTAGACTTTCTAGTCTAAGGAAATAGCCAACATGCGCCCACCTCTAATTTTCCCATTGCTATCATCTTTGTGCAGGCTTCCCCCAATTAAGCTAATCATTTGTTAATTAAATTCTTATAGAATTTTTTGTATTCTGCGGTGGCTTAATTTTTATTTCTTAAGAGAAATGAATGACAAAATCATTTCAAAAAAATAGTACTGTTAAATTGTGCGTTCTTTAAAAAGAAACAAAGCAATAATAATCTTTGAGTTGGACATGTAAAAGAAAAGAGTATGGAGTCTCGTGACCCATATTTTGGACTAAAATGATTGTATTTACAACAGGATGCAAATTTGATAACCAACACGAAGAAAAGTCATATATGTAATTGATGGAATTATATATATCACGTCATTTTTTAAATAAAATAATCATAATTCATGTCTTGGAATTTTTCTTTATCATGGTTGAATTATAACTTTTCATTTTTCTAAATTTAGGTAGTTGATTCAATTTAACCATTAGGATTTAGGTGAAGGGCATTAAGGTAGAAAGGAGGCAGTTTTGCGAAAAAATCATAGTCAAGTCGTATTCGCGTCGGACACATGTTACATGTTTGATAATTAAAGTACATTTTACCAAAATTTTTTAAATACTTCCCGACATTTCTAACATAAATTTACCTTCATAATTTTGAAAATAATATGAAATTCCGGGTTCGAACCCGGCAGCGGAAGTATTTTTGCTATACTTTTTCACACGCTTCTTAACTGTGGTGATACACCCGATGGGCCTTATTATTAATATTTCATTGGGCTTTACTCTTACAACGAGTCTCCTGCAAGTCTAATCATTATCATTTTTATATTTTGGAATAAATAAAATGGAAGACTGAATTTACTTACACTTTAATATAAATGAGAATGTGTGTACATACCTGTATTTCTCCTTCTTCATTATTCATGTGTTGTATCTATGGTTAAAATCATAGAATTTCTAATATTATCTAAAAACAGATAAGGGGAAAGTGCAAAGTGATTGAATAAATCCTCCTCTATCTGTTGTTGTGGGTCGAGGGCTCCTCTTTCAAGCTCCGATTCGTATTTTTCATTGAGAAATTTCTGATCAATGATAGAACAAGATTCATTTTATATCCAAAGAATTCCTTGATTCGGATAAAGAAGTAATGAAATTGTCATGTGTCAACTTTTAAAATCCACTTAATGTGTTTTCAATAACTAAAATGAAAATAATTAGTGCACTAAATACGTAATAATTTATTTAGTAATTCATTTATCAACTTTTTAATGACTCCTTTTGTATTTAAAAAATTACTGTATGAAAAATATTTAGAAGTAAGAAAAAAAAAAAAAAAAACTTAGGACTTTTAAGTTAGTGGATA